ATTGGTTTTTAGCCTAAAACACCACTTGGCTACCCATTAGTGTCCACAAAAAATTTCAGCCTATTCGGTCCAGCCGTTAGGCCGGTTATAGGCAGCATATATATGAATGTCTTGTTTCATTATGATTTTCAACTTTCATCATTTTTACAACGTATTTGGCATGTAATAAACAGTTAAACCCTAACTAAGCCATACATCGAAAGAATTCATCAAATGTTGTATTCTTCACTTTCTGATAATGGAATGTTGCAGATATTTAGTTTTTTAATTAAATGATTATATGGAACTCGTTAAAACTGTTCCAGCATATTCATGGCTATTTATTTATTTTCGCAAATACTGCAAGATTTACGTAAAATAGTATAAAAACCCATTGAAAAACCTAAAATAATAAACTGACCGATAATACGGTCAGTTAACTACAACGATTAATATATACAGGTTGCAAAGATATTGAGGATATTATTATAGTTATTACATGATTAGAATAGATTGCTTATGCTGACCGTTGGTTGAACCCTTTAAAAAGTGAATCAATAAACTTTTCGGGTTCAATCTGCAAAAAACTATTTTTGACTGAACAATGTTTTTCATTCCAAATTGTGTGTATAACTGGTCCCAGGGGCGTAGATAAGGATTCTGTAGGGGTGGTAAAAATTTTTAATTTGGCGCCGAAATTTTTTTTACCCCCGTAAAAAAAATTTCGGCGCCAAATTAAAAATTTTTACCAACCCTACAGAATCCTTATCTACGCCCCTGACAGAGACAGAAATATAAACAGACGGACATTATACAGATATATATTTACAGATGAATAAAAGTAAATAAACAAATTTTCTAATCCCATTATGATGGAAACTTTCATTTTTCTAACTTAGACAATCTTATTTAGAAGAATTAATACTTTAAATATCTACAGTTTAGTGTAGTAGATCGCTGAGTATAAGGTTTAGTAAGTATTGGAGATAGCAGAGTAAGTTTGGGTATAACCTCTTTTGTTGGGTATAGAAGGCTGCGGAGTAAGGTTGGTTTGTTTATACTAAGATAGCAGAGTAAGGTTGGGTATAACCTCTTTTGTTGGGTATAGAAGGCTGCGGAATAAGGTTGG